GGACGACTGGCTTGACATGTCGTCACTTTACACATCTGCAAGGTCAGAATGAGCAGGTTCAGTCAATCGATCAAAATGATTGTGCATGCCCTGCCACAGGTGATTCTCTTCTGGTACGTTGGAATGCTCAGAATCAGATACTGATCATACCATCGATGGTGGAAACGCTTTGAAAAGGTGCCTCGGAACTGGTGGTGGCCAATAGATCCAGATATTGAGGGACTCGATCGGGCCGCTGCTTCCCAGCACGATTTGTTGCGGAATCACGGATATGAGCTTTGCAAATCTTCTTTCTCAGTGAAAAATTCGTTCGATCCAAGACAGACTTTAAACACACGTGTTTAAGTGTCCAAGTGACGTGTCACTGGCTCATCTTTGTCGTCAGCATAATCATCGCACATTTCCTTATTCATGGCAGCAAGTGCATTTTTGCTGCGATTTCTGCTTGCGCGGGGCAGCCACCTCTCTCTTGCTGCACACTTTCCTGCAACATGATAACCCAATGCATCGTGCTCAACCAACGCAGCCACAAAATATGATATTTGATGTGCCATGCCACCCAACGGGCCATCCTGGGTGACTGGCCATGGCAGCGATCCAATCTGCGATCCAAGAATTGACTTTGCTCAGAAACGTCTGGCCCTCGCGTACCCGTCGAAGGCGTTTCTTCGTTTCTGCCGACGGCCACAGCACCGCGGCTGCAAGTCTCGCCCCCGTTCTCATGGCCCGCTGGGGTGGGGGGACCGCTTGTCACTTTTCATCATAACGTAATTCTCAAGCACCACAAAGGGAGGGCCCGTGTGTTCTCAAGCTCAGGTTAATGCTTGCGCGCTCAGCTTAGGTGACTTACAATCACTGCGACATGAGCTACACCGGAATTCGCACGCCACAATTAGCGAAAAGCGGCAGCAATCTCGACGGCCATGAAAGCGTGTCCTGTGCCAAGCATTGGAACAGCAGGTGATGGAAGCCGAGCAGGATCGACACCTCAGAGTTGACCTTGGGCTGCTTGCGGTGGTCTTCCGCCGCTTCGAATGGTTGGCCAGCGCTATCGCGACTTTCCAGGTGCCTTTGGGCTCACTGGCACAGGAATGTCCGCCCTTCGGCGCCAAATTGGCGCCCGACGCGCTGTGCCCCTTAGGCAGCTGCTGGGAAGCCCCCATGGCGCAAACACTCAGAGGCCCCTGCATGAATGATATTTTTCTTTCTGTTGCTCCCTTGATGGCCAAATTTGGAACAGAAAAATCTTTCGGCCATTCGATGTTTTCTCTGTGGCTGTTTTCATCGCAGTCAGCAGGGACAGATGAACGCTTTTGTCTCTTCGTATTTGTGTGGATTCAGCCCTGATCGTCCCATTGCTTTGTCTCCATGATCTGCTGTTGCGAGAGAAGCAAGGACAGAATTTCTGAGACTGGGTAATTGCACATGTGACAATGGAATCAGATTATTACATTTGCAAAATGGTGCTGAGATCTGCAAGCTGTGTTGCAGGCGGCAGGGGGTAACAGACGTGGCGAAATGCCTCTGCAGTCACAGGTGGAAAGGTCCACAGGAATGGAACCCAACTGATGGTGGCAGCTGATAGTTATTGAAGTCGCTTCTTTCAGTGTTCTCTGACCTCAGGTGTTGGGTGCATTCATCTTTTGTAGGTCTGGCATTGCGTGCATGGGACATTGGACAGCAGTATAATAAATGTCCCTTTTTCTGTATGTGCTGTGCACTTCGGTCTCGAGAGTCTCTCAAAAGACAGCAGTAAGATAAACAGCCGCATTTTCTGCATGTACTGTGCATTCTGCTCTCAAGGGGATCTTGAAGGACACTTGTGGACATTGCAACAGCCAGCTCCACGAAAACCAGACACTTTTTTATCTTAGGATACATTGCATGCACCCCCGTACTGACCAAATGCAAGTCGCTGCCATTGAAGCGGTCGTTCTGTTGCCAGATCCCTGGCAGTTTCTGTGTAATTTGGGATTCAACTGGCTCAATAATCCAACAATATCTCTTGATGTGCTTGTCTAATTACCACACAAGACCTCCATCTCATAAGTATGTACCAGCGCAAGGGGACAGGATTTCGTATTCATGGGGCGATGATGTACCAATGGCATACTTTGCTTCCACAATTTCAAATTGTGTATCAAGAATACATACTGCCTGTTTACTGTGCACATGGCTGTCAGCTGTGAATACTGGCTAATGGTTCAGGCAAGTTTACGAGCATCTTTAAGCTTTAGAGGTTGTCAAGTGATGGTGGTGGTGAGATGGTACCTGGGAAACTGTTTTGGGGTAAACTGTGAGAGCACTGGGGATGGACTGCATGTGGTGCCCGTTTCGCGCGTGGCATGAGTGAATTTGTACGACTGTTCATTTTTCCAGATGCGCTGTGAACTTGTGCATACGTGAAAGTTTCAGGGATAGCGCCACACAGATGACTGAATAATTGTCGCCAGACAATGGCTGGCCAAAGCAGATAGAATGAAAAGGGGCATAGAATGTCACCTACATCTTTGCAATATTTGCTTCCATTGTTTGATGGTCGAGTGTGTTTGCAAACAGTTTCAGCACAATCAGGGTCGATGGCCTTTCTGAAGGAACAGTTGGGGAAAGTTGAAAATATAAGACGAGGCTGTTGATTCTACTGTGGACAATGGGGTTTTGCCAGGTATGAACAGGGTTTGGTATTTTGTGACGAATCTCCACTCTTGCCGCCCATTCCCCAATACACAAGGAAGCATTTTGTGTTACCGCACATATCTTCCACCGCATCGTAGGCATTTCCAGGTTTGTAAAATTCCGCAATACAAAAAGGTGCTTGTGGAAAAGGATGAAAAATACATATGCGACGTTCTCAACTACATTCTGAAAAACGTGGGTGCTCGAATCAACGACGAATGGAGGCCAGCCTTTGAAACTAAAAAGAACACCCAGCAAACAAAATTGCGATTCCTGCCAACAGTTGATGATGCGATTGACTTTGACACTCATCGGACAAGATTGTTGAAGGCTCGTTTGGTGTTGTGTACAAGGCCACAAGGGTACTCATAAAGTGGCAGCCAAAATTCCCCAAAGCAACAGTGTCCATTCAGGAATGTGCAGAATTCATCAAGAAATTAATTGTGCACGCAAAGTTGAAACATTCAAACATTGTTAAGTTTCCTGCCACCACGACATCTAGACTTAGATCTAAGCGGTTGGTTGATGAATCTGGCAGACTGCAGTGTCCACCATTTGCGCCGTTGTCGGATGATGTAGGAGAAGTTGAGCCGTGCTCAGCACATCTTATTTCTTCTCCGAGCGGCTTCAGGGTTGAGCTATCTTCATGCCATGAACTTGGTTCACAGCAATATAAAGATTTCCAACCTCCTTGTTGTAAAAGGAACTGAAAATTCTTCTGCTTTGGATGTGTGGGTTGGTGACTTTGGGTCAATTCGAATGGCTAGGGACCAGGATCCACATCATAAGCTGCAGAGGTGGTAGAGTTGAGTACCTGACTCCAGAGAGGTACATGGGTGAACCCAAAACTTCAGCCTCAGATGTTATTGGGTTTGGAGTGCTTATGTACGCAGTACTGACTGGAAAGTCCCCATTCGGTGTTATGACCTTGGACTTCAAAATCATGCCGCCATCATAATGTGCATGAAGGTGGTAGAATGTCAGGAACCTGCGATATTGATGGCGAGGAGTGCCCCCAGGAAGAAAAGATACTCATTAGGCGATGCTGCAGACAAGAACCACATATGAGGCCAAAGCTGGAGGACATCAGAAAACAGCTAGAGGCACTGTTGGATGAAGAAAATTGGACAAGGCTTTCGGCATTGTCAGTTGCGTACATACTCTCCCTTTAGGTCTTGCCTACTGTACGTGTGTGACGTGACAATTCGCAGGGACACCCCCATGTCACATCCGCATGTCGATTGCACCACGGCATTTGTTGGCCTTCCAGGAGGAACCCCGCTCCACTCCCCAGCCCAAGAAATCGCGGACGCGAGGTGCTCAGGCCTGTGCTCCCACAGCCTCGTTGCCCCTGTCGCCCTGGCTGTCATCTCGTGGCTGAGCTCGCTTCGGTCTGTGTGGGCGTGGTCCCCTTTCAGACGGAAGACACTGCGAAGTTGCTCCCGTGCCCCTTCGGCTGGGTACATTCGTTGCCGCCTTCCGATCTGCCGGAGCCACTTCGCAGCTTGGTGCCACTGCTGCTGTCTGTGGCTTGGCGTGTACATGTGTTCGATCGCCGTCTGGCGCGTGTGGAAAGGCACATGGGGCAGGTGGGCTCCTTGGAGTGGCTGTCGACACGCGTCAAAATGTCCTAGTTTGGGCATTTCTTCTTGGCGGTAATATCTCAGGCAGTGGGATTGCTCAACAACAACAACAGCATCTTCCCATTACTAATCAATGATAGCTGATAATGTCGTTATCCAAGAATCTGCAATTTGTTTGATTTGCACATGTCATCACACTCCAGCGAAGGTGACAAGCTGGCCTCCATGTTTTGGTAGGTGGTGCACATCCGTACAATGAGTCTGAAAGAGCAAATAATTGGTAACCAAATAATGAATCGTTGATCTACTGATCCATTCTATATGGCAACAACACACAGCTGAGGTTCTTCTCTTGCAGCGAGCATTTTCCCTGCTTGCCGCCCAGTGCTCACGATGGATTTGCTTGCTGCTGCAGACCTCAAGCAATAGGGTCAATGCATACTCCATGTGGACTTGTCCAATGCCTGTGAAGGCTTGACTTCACTTTGCATTCCTTATGCTGTTGCAAGGTGAGTACCCTTGTCGATGTTGTTTCCAGCCAGCAATGGATGCAATGGTCAGAAAAATTCAGCATTCCCTGAATCCGCATCGGTCCCATTGCTGTGTTGTCTTCATTGTCTGCATCGCCTGCGACCTGTTGCCTGTCATCTCAGTTTCATTGTCTATTGAATGGCTGCAGTGTGCTGACTGAAGTGACTGCAGTCCTCTGTGCAGCAGACATTAAAGGAAAAAAGGCTGAGGATGGATGAGCTGACAGCAATTAAGACAACAGTGGAGAAGGCCAAGGATGGGCTGCCCGTTGCCCGCTATCACTCGAACATGCTCCGGTTTTTGTGCCACGAAATGGAAAAGGTGGAACACCTGCTGCTCCACTTGCAGAGAGAAGCTCCGCAGAACGTCTTGAAAATCCTCAAAGATGAAATGGAGAGGGGTTCACGCCTGATCAGCAGACATGGTAGGCGTTTTGATCTTCGTGACTTCAGCAAAGTGGATGTAGTGAGCCGCAATGTGGAGCAAATGTGTCTAGTGTTCAGAGAATGCCTTTGTGACCTGGGCTTGGAAGAGGACATGATTGACATCGAGACAAAGATGGATGCGGACAGTGTGGCCGAGGATCAACGCTATATGTATTGGTATCTAACCTGCATCCTGGAAGGTAGAGATGTAGATAGGCAGATACCAGATGGAATTAGGAAGGAAGTGGAGGAGCTAATGGTGAAACAAAAGCACAGGATGGAGTTCGTCACCGTGATACCAGAACAAGAAATTGTGCAGATGGAAAAGATTGGCGAGGGCGGCTGTGGCCAGGTGTTCAAGGGGTGGTGGAAGGATGTGCCAGTGGCCATCAAGATGCTGAGGAGCGACCTTACACCAGAATCGAGAGCTGAGTTTCTGAGTGAGGTTGAGCTTCACATCCAGCTCAGTCATCCGAATGTGGTTCGCTGCCTTGGTGCTATGGCCTCGAATGGCATTGTTATGGAGCTGGCTTCAACAGACTTGGAGAAGTTCTATTGGAGGCAAGGAGATGAATGGGACTGGCTCAAGAAATTGCAGCTGATGTTGAATGCCAGTTCTGGTCTGCAGCATCTGCACAACAATAAGGTGGTTCATGGGGACATCAAGACAGCAAACTTTCTGGTGTTCGATTCGCCAACTGAACAGAGTGTGGTTGTAAAAATCTCGGATTTCGGATTGGCTGCCACTAAGACCGGGTCAAGATCGAAGACTGCCTTTCCGCTGGCCGGCACATTCTTGTGGATGGCGCCAGAGCTCAGTGAAGGGGCTGCTCAGACATTCAGCGCCGATGTGTTTTCCTTTGGACTGGTTCTTTTTGAGCTTTCAGCTTTGAGCCCCCCTTACAAAGGCCTCAACTCCAATCCTATTGTACTCCAGAGGAAAAACAATGGGAAGAATCCAGTTCCCATTCCAGAAGACTGCCCTGAAGCACTGTCAAAGCTGATGAAGCATTGTATTGCAGTGGACCCGTGTGACAGACCCACGATGGAGCAAGTCGGCACAAAACTGACCGAAATTATCCAGCAGGTGGGCAAACTGGTGTGCACATCCTCAGAAACGTTCACGAGCTTCAAGGCATTAGCCTGGCTTTCAATATAGGTTCTCAGTCATGGAGCACATGATCATAGGTTATAGGATTGGCGCACTCACGAACAACCTCACTGGACTTGCCCCAGACGCTTTGACTAAACTTCATTGCTTTTGGATGCCGCACTTGTGAAGATGATCGTGATGGTATGAGTTTTTGTTGTGTCTTGCAGGCAATGGGGTCAAGCAGTGGAAACGATGAGATGGCCTCAGCTGGCAATCAGCCTTGTCAGGTCGGTTGATCTTAACTGACGTCGAAAAGAACTTTTGGAAAGCAGCATATCCCAACTCAGTTGCTTGGAATGTATGCCAATCTCTTGCAGTACTGGAACATGTTGTACACTGTCTGACTGCACATTATAGCAGAAGATACCCACAGCACTGCCGGCATACCCTGTGCTTTCTGCAATCGCAACAGGACAGTATATGACACCCAATTATTCAATGGATGCAGAAGATGTAGAGCAGCCCTACATTCGTTTTCCCATGCCGACAATCTGAGGATATGTCTGTCCGAGCTTGTTGGTACAGCATACCGGTAAAATATTCAACCCTTCCTCACTTGACCATTGCGCTTTTTGCTCTGCATTTTTTTTCAGAGCATTGTTTGTTTTTCCCCACTCCATACCACTTCCTGTGGGCTCAGGGTGGGCCCTAGCACCTGAATGCCAAGATTTAGGTGCAGCTGCCCAGTCACCTGCCTCCTATGCGCGTGTGCCATGAGACCCAAGCAAGGGGTCCAACAAGCGTTTGGCTGCTGAACGTTGTATGTCTCTTGGGCGCTGGGGACGGCTTCCAAGAATCCCAGCGATGCGCCGGCATGAGCAGAGGCTTGGATTGGTGCTGATTCCAGGGCAGATTCGAACAGGGACGGGATTCAGCCAGTGGCGTGAGCCCGCTGATTGAGGTGTGGCTGGACAGCTGAGTTGCCCAAGACCCAGTCGACCAAGAGCTGTGGCTGTGGATTGACCCGTCATGAACCCAGCCAAGATGGCGCTAGCGATACTTGCGAATGACCTCTGCGCCACGCAACATGTTTCCTTGCTTTTCCCACCTGGGCACCACCGGAATGGTGCAACGACTCATGCATCCGGTGTTCGCCAGATGCCACGAGCAGGCCAGAGAGACTCACATCGTGGCTTTGGCCAATTGAGCCACAGCAGTGGCGATGTCCAGATGGCTTTTGACTGCAGCTTGGGCACACAATGACGCCACGGGTTGTAGCAAACCCAGCTCCTCTTCTAGCTAGGCTGAGTGTTACTTTAATGGCTGCTCCACATTTTTCCTGGCACCGTTACTGTCTCATTCATTACTCTGCAGTAAAAGGTCAAGTGTTACTTTGCTATGTGGAAGGGTTGAATATGTTAGGTAGGTAGCAGCTTCGCTCCAGGTGCGCTGCCAAGATGCTGCCAAGATTTTGTAGTTTTCTGCAGCGATTTTCGCAGGATTTTGGATGCATGTCACAAGTGGTGGCTAGGCTGTAAGTCAAGCTGCGCAGGTTTTGTGCATTTACTTTAATGTTCACTATCCTCAACAATAACAACATTGCTTCTACTTGCTGTCAGCACAGCATGCTGCTGAGGCAGGCGTTATGCCTTCGGTTCGTGGTCCAATGGAGGCACACACATGTGGGGCTGGTTGCTCGAGTGAGGGGCCATCAACTGGAGCATGGCCAATATGCTAGCTGATGCCATCACTTTTGTGTCTTCGAATTTGTGTGGATTCAACCCTGATCGTTCCGGTGCTTCGTTTCCATGACCTGTTGTGATGAGAGAATCAAGGACAGAATTCTGAGACAGCTCAATTCCATGTGTGACAGTGGAATCAGGTGATTACATCTGTAAAAATAGTGCTGAGATTGCCATGCTGCGTTGCAGGCAGCAGGAGGGAGCAGATGTGGAGCAATGCTTCTGGAATCACAGGTGCAAAGAGTCTCAGGAATGAAATTTGATGGTGGCAGTTGATAGTAATTGAAGTCGAATCTGTTGGTGTTTTCTGACCTCAGGTGCCGGCTGCAGTCATCTTTTGTAGGTCTGGCATTGCAAGCCTGGGCCATTGGACAGTAGTAGGATAAACAGCACCTATCTTTTGTGTGCGCTGTATGATTGGCTCTCAGGAGCCTCTTGAAAGACAAGTGTTGGCATGCAACAGCCAGCACCACAAAAACTGGACCCTGTCATCTTAAGATACAAATTGTGAAATGATTGAGTGGCAGCATTTTGGTGAGAAAGCCCCTGAGGAAACCCCGCACTTGTTTACACACCAGTTGGCGTCTGCCATGGCCCAGTCAGGTTGAAACCTGGATATGGTCATGAAAGTCGGGACTGCACACTGTTTCGGCAACGTCAATCGCCTTGTCTGTGTGCTGCTCAGCGATGTGTTTTCCATGATTGGGCAACATGCTGTGCCTGTCTGGCCACTCGGAATCTCAGCACTCGTAGCCTTTTGCTAGCATGCGCATGCGCATCCATTTGCCAGTTTGGAGCGTGCGGCACTCGTTCAGGACAAGCCCCAGCTATCTGTCAGTTCCTACAAGACGGGTCTGTTGTGTTGTCTGTTCAGACTAAACACCGAGGCTGCAGCCTGACCTGAACGCACACAATACATCACGTCATTGACATCTGGAAAGGGCGCATGGTAGCCATGGCTCGATCATCCTGGGCTGCACATCTTCAGTGTGTCTGAAAGGACCCATGCAGTGCTGTAAAGAAGTTTTAAGGCATGATCTTTTTGGTTTGTTGATGTTGTAAGGGCCCCGCCTTCCACCACCCCCTTTCTCCCAACACCGCTCCTCCACACCCTTCACACGCCCTCTCAGGCGTCGTGATGACAAATCCGGTCGTGGCACAGCTCACGGAGGAAGAGATCGCCGGGTTCAAGGACTTCTTCTGCCTGTTCGACGAAGACGGCAAAGGTAGGGGCTGTGCCAACGGCCATGTGGCCGCCAGGAAGCCACCTCCGGCGCGGGCGTCCTTAAACTTAACCGATTGCTCTCGAGTTGACTTTCATAGGGACATGTCTGAGGCCCTGTTGTCCCACCGCCACCGCAGGAACCATCACCGCCAAGGAGTTGGGGAACGTGACGCAGAAGCTGGGCCAGAAGTGGACGCACGCCGAACTGCAGGAAGCGATCAGCAAGATGGACACGCAAAAGAAAGGCAAGATCGACTTCAACGACTTCCTGGTGCAGATGGCCCAGCTTAAGAAGGTGGGCGTTGCACCGGCGGGCTTGTGGCGCCATCCTGAAGTATTACGCGATGGGCGGCTGAGCGAGGGGGCACTCTGTGCGGCTTGCTCGCCTGCTGCGATGGGTGACTCGTGTCCCGCGTTCCGGCGTGGAAGTAAGCCCCGCAGAATTCTGGGTCACGGTAGGTTGCCGCTTCGCATGGCATGTCCTCACGGAACCGGGCAGCTGCGCTAGCGTGGGCATGCTTTCCTCTCGCGCTTGGACACTTTTGCAGGGAAAGGGGCTCCGTGCAGCTCTTGCCCAGGTCGGGTTGCACCTTTGTCGCCCTCGCCTTGGCTCGTCCTTGAGGATACATTCGCCAGACTCCACGACACCAGGGCGGCGGGCCGGCTCCACTTGCATGAAATCTGTCGGTCTGGCTCTTCAGTGAAGATGCCTTCTTGTTTCGACACACTGAACTTTAAAAACCACTGACCAATTGACCACTTGACTAATATACTCTCCGCTTACGCGATGACGTGAGGCTGAGTGGGCGCTGAGTTGCGACGTGCTTCCTGCACAGCACGTCGACCCGGAGGAGGAGCTGCGCCACGCCTTTCGCAGCTTCGACATCGATGGCAACGGATCCATTTCGCGCGAGGAGGTGGGTGCGCCGCGGGGGCCGGCCTGAATACACGCGGCAGGCGAACGCTGTGCAAAGGGCCGGGCGGCGCATGGCTCGGCTCCGGCCAGCGCTGGCTGCCCCGAAGGCGGGGCGGGCATATGAGCCTGGGGAAGGGCGCAGCGGCGGCCGTGCGCTTTGTCGGAATGCCAGGCATGGGCCGTTGGCGGCACGTGCATGCGTTTTAGTACTTTGGGTACTTTGGGTATGGTTCGCTGGCCGTCGGTCACGTGGGGAAGGGCCGCGCCTGGATGGTGTCCCACGTTAGACGGGCCCTCCTTGCACTTGGCCACGGAGGCGTCCGGAGAGGCGTTCCGGTTGAGGAGAGGCGGCAGCCTGTGGCCGCCACTTTCCGGGACGGATAAACACGCATGGAAAGTTGTTGGAGTTGCGCGCTTCTGGTAGGGATGCACGCGGGCGGGGAGGGGGGGATTTCGTGGCTGTCGGGTTGGAGTGCAGCGCTGTTGGCGACCCAACTTTTGTCATGGGCATCTGAACCGCACCTGCTGCAGTCGACAAACTTGTCATTTGTGATGGAGCCTGCGGCCTTGGACCACTCTCTGGCACACAAGCACGGACAGTAGTCGTGGAGGCTCTTGCCAGTTTGTGCCAAGTGTTTTATGTTCTATTTTGGTGATAGTCCAAGAGTGGTAAAATTTTCCACACAACAAAGAAAATTCCAGTGTGTCCAAGAAACATACTGCATTTTATTAAACGCTAAAACATAGTAACTTAGCGCTTGGCCTTTTTGGCGCAGAAAAGTTAATAGAAATTCTGCAGTGCGACAAAAAATTAAATAACACTCTGAACAAAACATGCCAAGCAAAATGCATTCTTGATGCTGGAGGGTTGAATATTATATGTTATGTAAGATGGCTCCACACTATCACACATCATGTTCTTCACCATGGGAATTGCAAACAGGTTCTTCGTCACTCCCTTGTTTGCATTTGTCAAAATGACAGAGCATTTCCTTTGCACCGCCAAGATGATGACGATCCCATTCCTGAGCATTGGGTATTTGGGCACTCTCAGGGAGGGCTGTGGAAGTGTGGGTGCACCACATGTTTAGTTGTCTGCTTGTCTCTCGACCTGGTTTCTTTTACTCGCGACTTGGTTGATCAGCGTTTCTGTTTTATGTTGTCCACAGCTGCGACAGGCGCTGACAGGCCTTGGAATAAAGCTGACTGCAGAGGAGGTGGATGAAATGTTCCGTGAAGGAGACCAGAATGGTGATGGTGTAATTGACTATGAAGAGTTCAAGAAAATGATGCTGGGGAGTTGACTGTGTGCAAGAAAATGGAGCTGGGGAGGGGAAGGCATACAAGCCTGCCTTCTGTTTTCTTCACGCTGCCTGGTGTCCTTGCAAGCTCCCAAGGGGGCCAGAAGGGTGCTTGTTTTGGTTTCAGAAGCTGGTGGGAGACCTGGCTCTTGGGCAATTCGTGGCATAGGCATTGTTTCTGCATGACTGACTTGTGACGTGGTCCAATGGCAGACTGGGGTAGGCTGGTACCTGCGTTCCTGGCAGCATTTGGAGCCCATCTTTACGAAAAGTGCCCAAGTAAAGACACTGTGTCCTGTAGGGACATGGTGGTGCAAGTTCTCTGCCCACTGGCAGAGCATTGGGTGGACATTGGAATACTGGTGTCATGCATGGGCTTCGGCCTCAGCTGCACTCATGAGCCAGAGGTTGATTTGGGAAGGGAAATACGCCACACTGGAGGTCCTGGCATTTGTGGTGGCCAACAGGCCCTGCCAACTGCAGTGGCCGCCTCTGAAGAATCGACCATGCATGTGTTCCTTTGGTGGTGGCTCTGTGCCTTATGGCGGCAGGTCTGACTGGCACAAGATTTTGCAAGCATCAATTATTGGATTGCCTTGGGTTCTGCTCTTGGGAGAGGCATGGCTTGGTGGCCTGTTGGTTGGGTGAGCACCTTCAGGAATTATGTGTATGGGGAAGGCTGCTTAGGGTGGATATTGTTCCTTGGGGCTGGGGCCCCTGGCGCACAGTGTTTTCCCATGAAGTCAGGGGGCCTGTGGCTGATGGCGATCACCAATTTGTGTACATCACAGGGCAAGCCTGTCTTTGCTTTCCACATTGTGCAGTGCTCATTTGCTGGAATTGCGTAGGCGAGCAGACAACCACGGTGGCGATGTTGGGCAAGTTCAGCCTATTCCTGTGCAAAAGGCACGCACCCAGAGCACCTTGCACCCTTTCCAAGAGGTATGATTTCTTGATGGAAGAGATTGGATGAGAGTATCTGCAGAATCAGTGTAGTGCTTCGTTGGAAGGCTTGTGGGGAGCAAGCAATATTGCCCTCTATCTCATTTGGCCCACAGGAAGCTTGCAGGTGTAACGGATGTGGCATGTTGTCTGTGATCAGGGGATTAATTTAGTTAATGAGTTTCTGACGAGGGAGATGTGGTTGAGAGACGAGAGCACGTCAGTAGCCTAGGTGGGGCACCACATAAGGGTGGTGCCCCTGGCCGTCGCCCGGACTTTGGGGCCCATGGGCGACGAGTGAGGGGCTGGTCAAATATTTGTATTTAGGCCGGCTTTTTAAAGGGAGCTGTGGCTACTCGGTCACGTGAGGGGCTTGACCACTTTTTGGAGGGCGGTGGGCGCAGCATTGTCGATGGTGACGCCCCACATACCGTCTTCATCCTGTCTTGCTCTCCTGCCCACCCATCCCTAGGAGCGTGAATCTGGTTTGAAGGTGGAAATTGTGAAGTGCAAAGTATTGGGGAAACCGCTGTGGTTTGATTTGCAAAGAAAGGGCAACTTTGTGGTACAACGATCATTGGGCTTTGTTTGGGTGAGGGACAGCTGCTGGGAGTATCCGTAACGCACTTGGCTGGTGTGGACTCAGGCGGGAAGACTATCCGTCAGGCAGAAAGAGAGAAGGCTGATCGTGGTCGGGAGATTGGGCACAGAGCCGGCAGAGGGTTGGGACATGGACAGGGAGACACTGAGAAGGCTCTGAGTTGCAACACCAGCACACCACGGCTGTCATTCTGACTGGATTCCTCAATGGACTTGCCGGGAGGCTTTTGACCCTGTCTCTTTCCATGCCTGCCGGCCATGATTCGCCTTTTGTGTCCTGTTCCCCTGCGTCTCCAAGCATCGTTCCCCCCACTGATAGTGGCTGAAGCCTGTGCAGATTTAGATGAAATGACTGTGGGCTCCAGCGCGGTTGCTGTTATCACAGCCCTCATGAGGGCGGCCACGAGCCATCAGAAGCTGATGGCACCCCAGCATCGATTGTGGAGAAACAACCGAAACACCGAAGCAGCCATTTTCCCAACGCGTGAACGGAAGCAACGCGGGCAATTACCATCGATTCGCAGTCATCCTCGTCAAGATCCCTGATGTCAGCGCCAGCACCCGGGGAGCGGTGCCAGCCTACGGTCAGCAAATATCCGGCCAGCACGACAACCGGGCCCTTGGCACGAAACAGCCAGCATGTCCCCAATTCACGTTCGGTTCGACCCACTATCGGTGTCGGCACCTTCCGGCTGCTCCCTCTCAGCTCCGGCAGCCCCCTCCCTGCGTCTGTGCCATACCCCACCTAGGCGACCATGTCGGCACAGGTTTGCAAGCACTTACCAACGACCGGATGTCAGGGTTTTCAAGACGTGTTCGCCCTGTTCGACGAAGCCAGCAAACGTGCGGGCCTGTCTGCGCAGCTGGCTGATGCAAAACTTGCGTGTAAGGAATTCTGACTTGGCAGCGTTCCGGAGTTGACAGCTTTTGGGGTGATGGTTTCTGGGGTGCAAGGGATGACCACCGCGGAGGGGCTTGGCAAGGTGATATGCTTCTTGGGGCAGGAACCCACGGCCGGCGAGTTGCAGGATCAGCGAAGCGGACGCCGAGGGCAGAGACACGGTCCGAGTTCCCCGAATTTTTGAACCTCATGGCGAAGAATGCGAAGGTGGGGAGGACAGGGGTTCGCGCCCTGGGGATACCCGTGAGAGGATGTGGTTTTCCCTCAGTCCCCGACACTGCTTGGGAGGTGGGCGCAGAAACGGCTCGTTCACCTTGTGGCCAGCACATTGCTCACGGGTCAGCTTCATTCTGGCTGCGGAACAGGAATGGACCCCGACAGGCAACTGCAGGAGGCCGTTCGCGTGATGAGCGAGGACGGGGTTGGATTTGTTTCGAAAGAGGAGGTGCGTCCTCCCAACTTCGCCATGTTGCTGGCGCACTCGTCAGTATCAGACCCCCGACCATATTGTTTTGCAGCCCACACGAGTGGGTCCTGTGTACACATGCACGTCACTTGGTCGATTGCACTTCAGTGCGCAGTGTGCAGTAAAGACATATGTGTGCCACATCTATGTTTCGATCTCTCCCCAGCTGCACAGTCGGTTCCTGTCCATCTGGTTGCGCTTTCTGCAGTGCATGATGACCGTGACTTTGGCCATTGGACAAGATCAGCCCTGTTAGGTCTGTCGGTTTTCAAAGGCCGTTGTTTGCTTACGTCATGAACCTCTGCCCTTTTACAGGTAGCATCGGCTCAGCGGCGAGAAAGGGTGAATACAGTGAGTGGCCACATACAGTGAGTGGCCTTATGCAAAAGCGTTCAAGCATGCTCGCCGACTCTGAGAATTGGTGTGCTGCTAGTCCATGGATTTTAGGAATGTTGGACCTCCTCGAACACAAGCGAACTCAGGGAGGATGAAAGCTGTTCCATCTGTGGCAATGCTTTGCACTCCCACGACAGCACCATGTCTTGCACTCGCAGCCGATGTCGGTCATTTGGGCAAACGGCTGCACTGCAGTGTGACCACAGGCCAACGACGCCGCAATAGCGGTGCACACCCTTCAGGTGGTCCACTCTCCGGGAGAGTGCGAGCTGGGCGTTAGTCCGTCTGTGTGGAATTCCACGGGGTTTCTTCCCTGATTACATTTTTTTATATTTGGGATTTGGGTTTTGCTAAAGTTGGTCATTTCAAGTCCATTATCAAGTGGCAAATGACTTAATCAACTTCATTGCAACTGTACAAGATGGACTACGGCGACCAGTTTGAACTTCACAAGATTGTATCTTAGGGGAATCAAAAGGGAATGCAGCCGCAAATGATGAACCGCCAGAAGATGGATGACTACCCCAAGCAATAACGTTATATAGTAAAAAGATCGGAGTCCTGGGCAAGGAGACTACGACAAACATCAATAGCTACGGAATGTACAAACGCATACTGGGATCATTCAGAAGGATTACAAGGGAGGATCAGTACAACCATGCACCCCAACAGCTGCCAAGACCGTCCCGTCAAGCCGACATGCGAACCACCCGCGCTGGGTGGAGAATAGCCTTAAGTGGTGACAGCTGTATACATGGCTGGAACCATGACAGCGTTGCATCAGGTTCAGGACCTGTCCGACACCAATGCATGGTCCAAGAAACTACATATAGGCTGGGGCTGGCGTTGCGTGCCAACCCATTGCCAGCCGACCCCCAACCGCTGGTTGCATGCCCCTGTGCACCATGACAGCCTGCCGGTTTCGCCAAGTGGAGGCGTGGAAGCTGTTCATTGTTCAATGGCTCACAGTCGGTCATCTCCGCCTGTGTCGCTGGATGCTAAGCGGCGTGGACGCACCCCTAGGATTCTGGGCCTTTCTCATGGCCGTGAAGGTCCCTTTCAATCAAGATGACGCGCCATGGATTCTGCGTGAGTGGCGGCATGACCGTGAGAGGGCTGAGCTTCAGGAACTTGCATGGGATGCACATCTGCGGGACGCCTCTACGTAGCTGGATGGAACCCATGTTCTGGGGGTGGGCGACCGCTCGATTTGGAACGATGCGTATGACCCAAACGCCATCCATCGCGAATGGGAGCTGGAAGCAAAGGTCCGCGAAATGGAACCGTATAGTGGCATGAGTGTCTCCGCGTTTCAGATGCGATTCAGAGATATGCTGGAGAGGGAAGGAGCCCGGATGTTGGAATGGAAGGGGTGCCTGTTCGATTTTGAGCGAAGGGAGATTGAGGTGCGTATGGAGACCGCAGTACCGTTTGCTGATTGGCGAGGGTGGAGGCTTGAGGGAGATGGCCAGAGCCGGCACGACTTTGCCTGCACACTCCCATCAAACTTCAACCTGGAGATCCCTTGGGAGTACTGTGAGTTTGCCACCAACACGCCTCCAAATGCGGATGTACGGCGCAGCGCCGCGTACGATGCTGCGTGCCGCGAAGTGGCAGCCAGAATCAACGCTGGACGCCCCGCCAAGACTGACGTGGAGGCCAGAGCTGAGCGATGCGCGTGGCGGTGGAGCTTCCGTAAGAGGAAGCCTGATCCGGACGTGATGGGTGAGAGTGATGGCTGTGATTGAGACCATCTGACACCGACACTTCCCCCTGGTTTTGATGATGGGCCATCAACGCGTGTACTGCCACCAGGATTCAGGCCCGATGACGTGAACTGAGGGACCGTGGCATGGCGTGATCGTTGGAGTGCGAGGGGACCCGACTGGAAGCCACTGCCACCTACGAGGAGCCCCGGCTGCGGGACATGGAGTGACAGGGGGATCTCGCGGTACCGGCCGTGGCATGATGACTAGACGGGACGAGACGAGGGCGTGTCAGACCAAGGGCTGATTGGGGGAAGTCCCTGTGTGGGTGCAAATGTACGATTCTAGGAGGTGACACCGTATAGGGATGTGTTTGAAAGGGAAAGGACAGGCATGGGATGCGTTGAACATCAAGAGTGTCTGGCATGGGGCAATAACTCGTGTAAGGCATCTGGAGAAAAGACAAAACCTTGTATACGACATTGAGATTTGTAATTAAAGACGTTGCAGATTCTGCATGGCAGATCTCCGCAGGCCCCTGAGTGC